CAGAATCAGCAGAGCTCGCCTGCATGAGTGTGTGTGTGGATTGGTCAATCCGACGTTGGGACCAATCTAGCGGGGGCCTTAACGTAACGGCTACGCGGAAGTAAACGTAACGGCTCCAGCGATTGGCCCATTTGAGTTCCGGGTACGCGCTTTCGTAAAGCACGTACCCGGAAGAAATTCAAATGGATGAGTGACGTCATGAATCGACGTTCAACAACCGAGGCGTCTTGGGGAGGAAATTTCTGTGTTTAGAGTTTTAACTCGCTACAAGGGTACTTTGAGGGTTTTGAACTCTGCAGACCGTTTACATGCAGAAAACCGTCAATTAACACACAAGGGGAGCGGTTAATACCGGAAAGCATGACATGTCACTTTCAAGTCAGAATTCTGACTTTTTCTCAGAAAAAAACAAATAATTTTTTTTGTGTCCCTGAGATAAAGTCAGAATTCTGAAGAAAAAAAAACACGAAAAAAAAAAAATGGGTGGCCCTAATCCTCTCCGTAGAGTAAAAGTTTAAGAGTCTCTACTTGTTTTGGTACTGACATGTTGCTTAAGAGCACTCTTCAGAAAATATCATGACAAGCTTTTGGGCTTTCAAGGCTGCACAATACATTTCTTACATATTATTTTTCATCAAAGACCTTTGTTCCCATTATTTCCAGCAGTGTGATTGGGTGGAAAAAAACCTGATGAAAGAAAGTTATATTAAAATGGGTTGTATGAAAGCAGCAGAGTATTAACAAAGGTGAAAGTTAGAAGCCTGACTTTGCTACCAAAAACATTGGCATTTACCACGGAGCGCTTGAGGGGACACAGGACGTATATGGGTTTGACAAAAAGCCCCCGACTACTCAGGTGGAGGTGAAACTGATTCGTGCCATCTGTAGCCAAATCCTGCTCTCAACCACTGCCCTTCTTCTCTCCTTTTCCCCTTCCACACATCCAATCTGTCGCTTCTCTTCATTCTCTTTCCCCCCCCCTGATTCCCCATCTCCGCTCCATCGTCCACCTTTTCAAATTCACGCAGCTTCCATCAACTAAGACGACATATGTCAGCTACAGCAACTCATGCCATTTGAAGGGACCACAGAGGATATGCAGGAAAGGGATGGACAAGGAGAAGGGGGTGTCCCGGAGGCAGCGCCAAGAAAGGAGCCCGTGGTCTCGTGGCCGGCCGAACTGACGGACAGATGAGCGCCCAAATGGAATCCAAGCAATGAAAATTTGTATTGTTCCGCATCACACCACAGAAGAGGTGGGACCACAAAAACAGCCCAGTCAGTGGTGCCTGCTTCTCGCTGCTCACAGCTCATTGGTATAGCATGAACTACCTGTTCTGAAAGAAAAAGAAAAAAGAAATGCCATACCATAGGAACTGCTCGGTGGCAGAGTAACTATTAAACTACACCCAAAAAAAAATAAAAAAGACAAAACTCCGACCATCCCGTAGACACTGATAATCTAAAAGGCAGTGCTGGGAGAGAGATTTAACAGATTCCATGTTTAAAAGATATTTAAAAAGAGAAATGTAGAGAAAAATCTATTGAGACTCCAAACATGGTTTGTTGTTCCATTCTCTACTTGTAAATTTTTGTGGTTGTGACGATTTTTTCATTCTTGTCTCCACCGTTGTCCGATGGATCGCCCCTTGCATAATGAGATGAGTGTGTTTCCCTCCTGCTGTCTGGCTAACCGGGTTGGGTACCTTGGGTTGTGAACCTGTAAATGGCCATGGTTGAAGCATGCGCAGTGTTTTTTATACAAAAGAGATTTATTTTATAATAAAGGGAATGTTTTGCAAATGTGTCAGAATGGTGGTCGTTTGTACTTTGAAGCTTTGAGGATGATCTTTTGCGTTGGCTTTTTAAGTCTTGATGATGGAATGAGAAATGATGCGAATTCACCATGACTCCATATACAAATTAGTAGCACACAGGTTATTATATGTCAGGATAGAAACTGTTTTAGCAAAAGCAGCAAGCAGCAGACTATCTGGGCTTTTCATTGTTTCCCCTCATGTTTAGGAAATAGTTCCTCTAACTTTGTCCAGACTGAGATATCCTTTACAACTGTTGGCACAGATTCCTACTGTATTGTAAATGTGTACAGACATCGATGATCTCCTGAGGATGACCTCTAAGGGCTTTGGTTTATTAACTGACTTTTCTTTCAGTGTCACCCATAATTGTTAACGTGTTGATGTAACTGGGACTGTTAGGGTTAACACTTCTTAATGTTTGGCTGAATCATACTGTTAGCCTTAAAGGTAGGGTAGGTCATTTGGAGAAACCAGCTCGACGTGCGCAGAATTTGAAAATACACAACCGGAAGAAATCTGCCACTTCCTTACAGAGCCCCCTCTCCAACAACGAACGTGCACATGACCAATGAGGGCACGAGATAAGTTGTGCACAGATGGAAGGCTGAAAGGCAGGTAGGCCATCCAGTTACCTTTAGCCGCGGCCGGCTCAGATGATATGGGTCGTCGCTTTTACAGTACGGCGTTCCACAGAATGATATGTTTTTTATGGATTTTTTTGTCCAAAGCACTTCAGATATTCATTGCTATCGGGATGTCAAGAGCATTCCATGGAAATATAAACAAGACAAGTGTATCTGGCCGGTTCTCAAACCCACCTTTAACCCCGATTGGAAAAAATATGAATCTAAAATTGATGCAAATTAGCCAAAGTTTGACCCAAAGTTGCTCCCGTATTTCCAGTGCTCAAGATTGGGCCAGGATAAAGCAAAGATAGGGCAGAGAAACTGGCACAAGGCTAGCGTGTGACACCTGACTGGAGACCACTGACATCAGTATGGAACCATCCAGCTACCTCAGCAAACCAACCTGAAACGCTTCGCTTTTAAAAGGTTCTGTGAAGCGAGAAAGAAGGAAGAGCATTTCTGTCGAAAGCATTGTTTCTTGAGTGAGGCCACAGGAGTGAGAGATAGAGGAAAGGGTCAACAGTGAAGGATCAGATACAGTGCAGTATCGAGCCTTTATGCGCAATATTTCAGAAACCATGCTATACTATCCGATAAGTGGGGTTTCTTCACTGCGATTTCTCGCACCAGTCCGTCATGGCATTTTCTGTATTGTCCTCCAAAATACAAGTACCAGGTATTTAATTCTGCTACATTAATAATGATTCATCCCCAGGATATTTGTTGAGTTAACACTTTTGTTTTCGCTTCTTCGATTGATCAGGACTAGTTATACATATTCATCGATATCCTTATAACTCTTGTAATGAGTTTCCTTCGCAGGATCTACATCATGCCTTGAATATTTGTGTGAGCTGAAATGGCTCTGTAAGCTGTTGCCATAGCATTTGGTTCAGATATGTACCTCCGCACCGATGAATTGTAATACTTTGTCGATCCCCCCTGACTTTTATCTAGCCGTTTCTATAAGTTTAATTTGTCCAACATGCTTGACACAGAGTCGCAAGGCCATCAGGGCCTCAGCTGTAAGCTGTGTGTTCAATGTTCTCTTAACAGAAGACAGATAGGACATTCGGCTTTTCCTTTGCTTAAACATACCCTATAATATGTTCTCTTAAATCCTGGAACGGGTAGCTATTTCCTTGGTTAATCGTAGAGAACATCTCCTTTCCACGTTAAGTTTGTTCTTTTCATTATTCATTTCGATGTGGTGTCCGCGTTCAGAATCTCTTCCCGTGCCCATCTGTTCTTCTTACTGTCCTTCAGTATTGAGGAAGAAGGTTGATCACCCCTCACTGATCAAGATGTTGAAGGGAAGGAAATCTGCCAGAGAAAAGGGGCCGCTTGAGGGGAGAGTTTGACAGTAAGAGAAGAGATAGATATTCAGAACAAAGTGGACAAATTCGCCCCCCCCTCCGTCCACCTGCAACAACCCATCCAGATGTCGCAGGCCTAAAAAAATACATGAGAGCTAAGAAAGAAATCCTTTCAACTGCACCAGTGAATCGGCACTCTTGTGGAGGAGTAACAATCGATAGCGGCTGAGACAGAAGTGAAAGACAAAAATCAAAGCGTTTAGGCACCCAGAATGGCATGGCCTACAGGAAGTCAGGTGGAAAGGTGTGAGTGTGCCTGCTCCTATAGCATTTTGTGGTATGTTTGGCGTTTCACCCAACCACGTCACTCATCCCCGATTGCCCCAGCTGTATGGGGCAAGCGATTTAGCTTTTATTAATTCTCTGGGAGGATATCAAAAAGATCTATCTCCCACGAGTAAATAATGCGTTATTTCTGATATCGAAATTTGAATTTGAACTAGTTTAAGACATGGCAAATTCTTGATATCACGCAAGAGTTAATGCTAATTAGTTGTAATGTGTAGTTCTCAATGTCCAGAAATGGGCGAATGTTAACTAATGAGATTTCCGAATACGGGTTTCTGCGTGCATTCATTTCAATGGGAGTTGGAATTCGAAGTTCAAATGCCAATTTCCGATACTCAGTAATTCAATGTATAGCTAGTGCTAGCAATTAGCATTTGAACTAAGCTAAAACAATACAAAGGGGTGCTGATATCAAGAAATTCAATTTCAACTACGCTCGAAATGCCAATTGTGTGATATCCAGCAAATACAATTTGAAATAGTTAAAAAAATGGTTTGATATCAGGAATACCATTGTTACTAGTTATAATTCAATTTTTATTTATAGTTAGTTACAATTTAATTCCTGATATAAAATTGTATTTCTGATATCAACGATTGGCATTTCGACCAGTAAGAATTGATTTTTTGATATCCTCCAGAAATGAATAAAAGCTAAATCGGCTTGCCATACACCTGGCGTACACAGAATATCTTGATGCCATGACGTTCTCCCTAAATGACAGGCTTGACGTGTAGGCAAAAAACTCAACACAAACCACGAGGAAAAAGCCTGGTTCCAAAAGCATAATATCACAGCTTCGATTTCTGCAGCTGTGTGTTTATTTCTGCAGCCAAATCCCAAATGCCCTGAAGCAAAACACTAAACTCCTACCTGCTTATTTACTGGAAGCTGCTCAGGAACGATTTGAAGCGTGTTTCATGACCCTATGCCTCAGGGAAGTTGCTCATAAGCCAAATGCTAACTTTTACAGACAGACATGCTGCCAGTTAACAACAGTGGCAGCTTGTCTGTGTAAAACAGCAACTGAGAACTCGTACGTATTTTACTGTCAGGTGGATGTCATTTGTACCGCTGATAGCAACTTTTGATACAAAAACCTCAATTTGACTGTTTAAGGTGTTGGCACAAGATCATACTTTTTTTACCAGAAGAAAATACATGTTCCCTGATTATAATACAACTGTTCCCTCAAGATAACAAATTGTTCCCTCAAGGTAATAACTTCTTTTGTAAAGGGAATATAACTTTGTGTCCACAACATAATTACATCATCACACAATGTAATAACTTGTTTTCACTTTGTTGTTCCCTCTATATAATAACAAGGATATTACTTGTTTGCAATAGATAATGTTTTATAGATTATAATAACTAGTTCCCACAAGATAATGTTGTTTACACAAGGTAACCATTTCTTTGCACAAGACAATAAATTGTTCCCTCACCATAACCCTGGAGGGTTCATAGAGAGAAAAATAAATAAAACGAGGGCACGTTTTATTCATTCGTGCACACGAGAAGTCATTTGTGGCCTCAATTTAAATAAAACGAGGCCATGCTTTATTAATTAGTGCACACGATATACTTTCTGGTTCACACGTGATACTTTCTTATGGTTAGACACATCGAACTGCNGCTTTTAGCCCAGGGGGGTATACTACGAATCTAGTTCAACCTATCCTGGATATGTTTTGAGTTATCCGGTTGACTTAATCCAAAACAAAGCCGCTCTCGCTAAAGCGAGAGCGGCTTTGTTTTGGATTAAGTCAACCGGATAACTCAAAACATATCCAGGATAGGTTGAACTAGATTCGTAGTATACCCCCCTGGGCTAAAAGCTAGAGTCACGGCTCATTTACTGCTGTCAATGGACTGTTTACTCACCCTCCAGTCTGAAAGATGCCTCCTGAGAGACAGTTGGCTGCTGGAGACTCGTGTTTCCTCGTGTTATTGACAGAGAAGAAAATGGAAAAAAAAACATGGAGAAGCGTACTGACAGCGCAGCGTAATACTCCCTGAAAGAAAAGTGAACTATAATATTAGAAAAATATGAAGAAGTTCAACTTTAAACATCCATGACTTAAACACTTTATCCAGGATAAAAGCCACATAGGTGAATAGGTGAATACAGCTGGTAAAAGAAAAAGTGTTTGAATGCCTACATTAACAGGTTTATGATATCACTGCCCCGTCTAAGACACGAGTGGATCTGACTTTAATTACATTTGACTCGAGTGTTTCGTCAACTTAATGTGTTGCTTAAAATAATACTTCTGCATACAGTATGTGACACTGTGAGTGTTGCACGGCCAGATACGGCTCAAGAAGCTGTGATATGAATGATAATGGGACACATCTGCACTCACAGTGCGTAATGTTACTATGGTCTGGTTACTTGTGTTGTGGCAGATATTTAAGTAAGCTTTCTTAACGCTAATGTTATAATAGTCCGATTGCTCTGAAGATGGGAGGTGATATTCTATTAATTTTCACGTTCACATAGTCAGTAGATTTTTGCCGGCCGTCTTTCCTGCAACGGCAGTTTTTCTGTATTTTCTTTCTCCTGTAATATGACTTGATCGCTTTAAACTCCGCACACTGAGCTCTTTCAGCAGGTGGGGCTTTCACTGTGTTGATCTCTTATCCTGGAACCTGTCCTGCTCCGGAGCTAAGAAGTGAACCAGTGTCGCAGGACCGGAAACCCAGAGTTTACCCCGAAGTTAGCTCGCTAAGCGAAAATCCGGCTTTGTAGTACAGGCCTCTGGGCTTGGAGCCAAATAAGCATATGTGTTTTATCAGGTTTTATAGGAGAGCAAGAGCAAATTTTCAAAAAAATTGGGAAAGGGTGACCTTGGCCTTTTTGGAACAAACATGACTTTTTTCCCGGTTAAGTCGGTTGATTGAATGCATTCCTCATGGATTTATTTATTTAGATGAAAGTGTTTTAGAGTTGTTTACTCACATTTTTCAACTCAAGCATTATTATGTTTAGTGATATTTAACACAACAACAAGATCAATTATTGCTTTCAGGAGTATTCTTCTGATTACTGTAATATAATAGTAGTATAGTATAACAGTAAAGTAATATAACATAACATTTACTAGAATATGGAAAAATGAAATGAAAATAAATGTGTTAAATTAGGCAAATATGAATTATTGACTGCAACAGATTGGATATGAGTGATCATTTGACTTCATTACCCAGAAATCATGAAGTGACGTTATGTAAACAAAGAAAGAAGTTACTGGGTGGCTTCTTTTTTTTTTAATCCCAATTTCCCAAATTGGGATTAATAAAGTTAAAAAACGTAACATAAATATGGTGCCTAAGCCAGTACAATACATTTGTTATTGTGTGCTTGAGAATATAAAATCACATTAGAATAATCAAAAAGTAATAAGATAATATGCTAAACTGACTTTGCAATACTAAACACCAACCTTGCATTGGATATAATAAATACAATTGCTGAGGTCCAGATGATTGGCCGGTCTGTGTCCTCACACTGCCAGCCGGACACATTTGTCCTGTGACTTCTGTACATAAGTGTGGACTCGTTCGTAGTTTTTTTTACCCCAGTTGTTTTCTTATTTGTAGCTATACGAACATAAAAGTTTTGCACTGTGACTTATTGTATTATTGCCATGTGAATTCAATACTTAACATTTAGAAACTTCCATATTCTTTTAACACAATGTTGAATAGCTTTTAGGTTAATAATGTACACAAATGCTGTCATTTGCCACCTGACTTTCGTATATAAGTTAGGCACTTTCATATTTATTTTAACCCAAACTTTGACTTATTTGTAGCTATACTAACTAAATCCATTTTCAGTTTATTTCATGTTTCTGAAAATGCAACACAACACAAATGTTGACTTATTTGTCATGTAACTTGGATACCTAAGCGACGCCATTTATTATTTCAACATAGACTAATTTGTCACGTGAATTGCCAAATTAAAGTTTAGTAATTTCCTTAGTTATTTTAACATAAAGTTTACTAATATTAAGGTTACTCCCGTACTTAAGTTCATTAACTTAGGTAGTTATTTTAACACAAATGTTGACTTATTTGTCACGTGACTTCCGTACACGAGTAACTTCACTTTTTGTAGTATTATCCCAAACGCTCATTTATTATTTAGCTATACCAACAAAAAGTTTTGCAATGTTATTTGTACCTGTCCCACAAAATCCATTTAAGTTTATTGGACATTTTCATGAACCATGAGTAACTTGCTGAACTTATAGATATGAAAATGATTACACATTCTGTTTCCTCCATCCTTTTTCTCTTTCTGCCAGCCTTTCTGTGATGGCGCTCACGTTAAAAAAGCTCCGGCCATCCTTCCCCTGCGCTTCACCCCCGACAAGGACCAGACGGTGATGCTGTGTGCCTGCAAGCAAACCAAAAACTCTCCCTACTGCGATGGATCTCACTTCAGGGTCATCTTCCAGGATATAGTAAAGAAGGTGAAAGGAGTCTTTAAATGAGCAGCATTCCACATGTTTGCATGGATGCCAAGGAGCAGTAACTATACCAGAATCAAACCGATGATAATCAATCAGCACTATCTAAATCTTGTCTCAACAAAAAAACAAGTCGCTGTAAAAATGTGATGTCCTGCCTCATTGTGTCCTTTTCATACTTATTATGTCTGTATAAATAAGAGTGTTATTTAAAAATATTATTTTAACCCAATGTTATATACAGATGCATAACCAAATAAGACATGATTTGATTTGCTTGTCTTCAATAGCATAGTAACAAGAAAACAGTCATTCCAATAGTAAATGACATGTATTAAAGTGATTTGTGCCAACTGGATATTATATATATGGTGATTTTTATTTATTGATTTCAAAAGTCATATTGCACAATATTGAGCAGTCTGTATCTAAGTCATGTAAACGTGCTTATCCAATTATTTATCATATCCAGGGCATATTAAGGACAAAGACTCAGATTTTGATTCTAACATAGGCTAGATAAAGTCTCTTGTATTTGGCTAAATCCAAACCTAAATATTAATAGACAATCATTTATCTGGAACGCATGGTGGAAAAGTCATTCTTACATATAGACATATGTTGTTTCCACGATGGGTTTTGATGGGGAGTTTAAGTCAGTTTTATATAGAATGTATTCAACTGTATGTCATCTGTTTTGTGACTGATGTGAATATCGTAAAATAAAAGTCGCAAATTGTAATAAAAAGTCATATTTTGTATAGCTGTATGACCCACAGTTGTTATACATGATCGGAAATGATGTGTTTGATTGTAAAAGTGATGTTATTGCATTGTCCTAATGCTCTCACATCCTGGACACTGCTACTGAAAAGGTAGTTTATCTATCTGGTGTAACTTTCTAATGTAAACTGCTCTAACAAATTCCCAGAAATAATAGTACAAATACTCAAGAAATCTGTGTTCTCTTGGAGACTTGTGTTGTTTTTCATGGTTTTATGGATAAATATATAGCCTACAGTAGGCTATTGTTTGTTTTTTGGAATTCTAAATCAGTTCAATCTGCGCCTGACTGATATCCGTCGGTTGATTAGTCAAACTAACAACACGTGACTCTACAGGAAGTGATTTCTCCAATCACCATGGTCAGCTCTATACATCCATGGGTCGGCTGCTAGGCTAGGAGAGCTGTAATATCTGGCATTATTTGAGGGTTGTTTTATTTGTATTTATCTGTTTGAGTTACCTTTTCTATTTCTCGCCGCTGTGCCGTAAAAGTCGCTTATCACGGCTGTTGTAACCTCGCGTGATTTGACCACTTGCTAGCTGAGGTGCTTTCTGTCATTGGAAACATGAACACGTTGGTGACCAAAATAGCCTACAAATGGATTAGTTTAACCTTGAGGAATCCATGGATAACAGCTTCAAAGGTAAATAGGTGCTAATGTTAGCCCCTATCTTTTGTTCAAATGATGGTTTTGGTCTGAGTCTTTATTTATTCTTAAGTCGTTTTTTTTTTTTTGATCGTTTTTGACCTACGAATTACTATTCAAGCACTTTAGAAAAAATTTGAGATATTTAACTAAAAGGCATACCTTAAACTTAATTCGAACAAAGCACATTTCAGATAGGAACACTGCACGTTTTTCTGATAGTCTCTTTGACCTTGCCAACACTCATAGTCATAACAGAGTAGCCTATAGTTATTGGAGACACCCACTGTATTACATGAAAGCCTCTGCACAGCTGTTTGTAATCAGAGCCTGCCTGATAGAGGCGAAGTCCCTCCCTTTCCGGTGGACCTACATGGGATCTTATTTCGGAAAAATTATGTATTGGAGTCAATGGGAGAGAAAGATTATCTTTCAATTCGTTTGAATTGTGCCACGAATTACACATATGATGTTTGTCAATTTAAAAGATAATTTTACAAGTCAAAACAATTAAAATGTGTCGTAAAACTGAAGTAACACATTTGTTTGTGTGAAACTGCTCAATGAACTACATCTCCCGTCTCGCACCACACACCAAGACGGCCGTCACGTTGGCACATTTCACTTTCTTTCAGAATGAGGCGAAAAATAGTATTACAAGACAACAATTGATGAATACGCCCGAGTGTCCACAAGGACTTTGTTAAAATACTTCCTAAAGAGTCTGCACACCCACAGGTGTTTCCACCTACAGTTTATAAGTTGTCCATGAACCAAACATATTATTAACGTTTTAGTATTCCACTTTTATCCGGTGTAAAACAAAAACTGAGTTAGGGAGATGTCAGTTTAACCCAGCCAGTTCAGACCACAGAGCCCTGAAAAGATGTATGTACAATTAATTACTTAAACCATTTCCAGATTACTAAATTTTTTTTACTAAATGTTTATACGTATACGTGTGTACTTTTTAATCATGCGCATTGGCTTTACCATGAAATACAAACAAAAACTTGTAAATAAACGATGTAAAATAATATATAATGCATTAAATTCACATTTAGTCAGTATATCGACATATCACAATTGTAATCTAAAATGAGACGATCAGGACGCCTCATCTTCAGCATGTGAACCTTACAGTTATCCCACTTATCTCTACTGTGCTTCTCTTCTCTCCACAGCTGTCCACCCTCCCTCCAGAGCCCGTCATCCCCTCTAAGAAGCCTCTCAGAGTGGAGCTGCTGGGTGGAAAGCGTTACTCATGGTGCACCTGTGGACACAGCAAGAAGCAGGTTTGTTCCTCCTTTGCCTTCATCTTCAGTGATCCCAGTCTGAAGCACACCTCCCACATGTTTCCTCACCACTTCTTTATCTTTCAGCCTTTCTGCGATGGAGCCCACAAATTCAAAGCCCAAGGCCTGTCCCCGCTGCGCTTTTTTTCTCCGGAGAAAGACAGCACAGTTTGGTTGTGTGGTTGCAAGCACACCAACAACCCGCCGTACTGTGACGGCACACACAAGCAGGACTTCATCGTTTCTGCCCCGCTTCATGAACACACAGACCCCTCAACATAATGGAAGGGATGAACTGAGCATTTTTGTGAATAAGTGCATTCTGTGAAAGCAGCACACATAAAGTGATCCATCATGACAAGTACTTGAACCTTGTGTCAGTATTTAAGTTACCGAGAAGATGAAAGTTACCACCTCAGCCCTCAACTCCAGGTGTCCTTCCTTTTTTTTTTACATGGAAGACACAATGTTGCATCAACAGCTGTGCTCTTTGATCAGACCTGTGACATAACACACAGGTTTGTGTACTGGGAGGGAGCGAGGTCTGACCCTGCTGCTTCTATTTTCCTTAAAGAGGAGACCTGCTGACTCAGACACAGGAAATCCTTTTGCTGATTACAATATATTTATACATGGCAGTGGTTGCCAACATAGCAGTTGAGCCCTATGAAGGTTTGTATCATAATCTAACATTAACAATAAAAAAGACGTTACATTTCTCAGCCTCTAATGAAGTCCTAGCTTTATATAAGCTTTATCTATAAAGAACACAATTAGAAATTGCTCATGAGTTTTTATACTTCAATGCTGCAACTTTTATTTAAGTAAATACTTGCTGTACTGCTTCCACATCTGGCAATATGAATCCCAATGATATTTACTTTCTCATTACTTGTTGGCTCTATGTTGGAGGTTTTATTTTTGAAATGTACACATTTAAAAGGATGATCACATCTATA